ATGGTAACGGCTGTTCAGCGCCGCAGTTCGTGCTCCGAAGTCATCACGAGAATGCTGGGTTAAGCGCAAACCGATTGAGCTGAAGGGTAAGAGCGGCTCCGGTGGCGTACTAGATAGAGCACACGGGAGATGCGGTTCGACTCCCGCCAGGGGCTAAGATTTTGCCCATTTTTAAGCATTCTTTTGATAAAAAATTGCACAATTAGCTCCCTGTTAAACGACTTATGATTTTTTGCATGAAATGAGCAAAGCGTTATTGACACGAAGCATTTGTGGCGTTCAAAGCATCGCTCTGCGCGAAGACGGTTCGGGGATCATTATAGAATCGTTCCTGCCCGGTCCTACCCAGTATTGCAGCGCTCCAAAGGTAGTTGCGAACAGGCTTGTCTGGGAGTATAAGAACCCTGACCGAGTGGCCCACGTCACTGTATAAACTAAATCGCACTCAGAAAATCAACGTTGAAAGCTTCATCCTCCACCTCACACTCTTCACAACTCACCATTAGTTGGCTGCATGTATGGTAGTGACTAGGCCATTAACTCTGCTACAACAGCGGATACATAGTTGCTATCCTGTGATTCATACGAAGGGTTTATTCTCAGGAGAGATGCAGAATTTAGAGATGAGCCTTTGCAAGTGATTTTTTTTAGGTTGGACGAAGCGCTATTCACTACGCAGCTGCTCAGTCTAATGCCATCTATGATACTCTGATCGATCTCGGAGCAGACCCTCGAATCACTGATTCTGTGAGTAACCTTTGGATTTCTACAGGTTGGGAATGTAGGCAGGTTAACTCACCGTTGCGGTTGGAATAGTATTACTTGTAACAAGCTGAACACGTTCGAAGCAGGCAAGCTTAGCGATCCGGGAGTTCGCTTCCTGATGTCAAGCGAAAAGTCGACTAGACTTAGACTGTAGCCTTCGCAACTTTCTGGCAGTGAATGTCGTTCCCATCCTCTCGCTCAAAAGCAGCATTTTGAGCTTCCAGCTTTTCTAGCAAGTGAATGTCGCTCCCATCCTCTCGCTCAAAAAGCAGCATTTGAGAAATTTAGGTGGTAGGTTGGGGCGTCCCACCCATACTAATAATGCAACATACACAATTTTGAATTGTACTGGCTCTGATTTTCCTTCATTTTTATGTCGATTATTATGCTCTTTTCCTTGTATTTTGCCTTATTTCAGGCATTTATTCAAATGGCTTGCATTCTTTCAGAGTCAGTACAATTTAAAATTGTTCAAAATAACTCACCTTCCACTTTCGAAGCTTGAAGAGTTGAAAAAGTGGGAATTCGCAGCCGAATTCCATGGAAATCAGCTGATTCGCCGTCACCGAGCCGCAGCCGCTGTCGCATTACTTGCAGTGCAGCTGTGCCGCCCCGACAGTCCTTAATGATGAAGGGACTGTGCTATAGATACCGCTCTAGCTGAATAAGCGCCATTCTTATTTCTAACAGATGAGCTGACCATAGGTGTAATTTTCTTGGCGAACACTCTAAAGTGATCGTTTGAGCGTTTTTATGAGGTTATCACAGGAAAGCTGAGTTATGGGCAAAAGTCAGACCCTGGGCGGGGCTCGAACCCGCATCTCTCTCCACATCCGCTCAATGGACGGTTGCGTTATCCATTAAGCTACTGACAATGAGGCCAAATTCTCAGCTCAGTGGCGATTTGCGCCATTGCCTTCTAGCACTCACACGTTTAACTTGATCAGCCGGTATCGGCAGCAAGGCTGGAGACTTCTCACATATTTACAAGTTATTATTTTCATGAGGGAATGATTCATAAGTGTTCAGGATGGACTCTCTGCAGAGGCGTTTCGACGTTCACCTGACCGCCTACGTCGCACCGCTTCTGCTGAATCAAGCTTGATGATGCGCTCGATGTCGACCGATGACGAGTTCTTTGATCCAGGTTTGGCCTTTACCACGGGGACAGTGTGTAGCTCAACATCAAACTCAGTTAGCCAACGAAGGCTCGAGCTAGTAAAAGTCACGTTAATCTGTAGGGCAAGGCTACACAATGAGTTGAAGTCTATCGTCCTCTAGTCCGTCCTATCTTTACCATCAGATGATGGGGCGTTGTAGAGGAAGAGAGGCGAGAGAGTCAGGAGATCTGTTTTGGTGACGCGTAGAAACGGACAGTTAGGTATGCTCTTTGTCAGTGCGATCCATATTCCTTGCGAAGCGTATTGGCAGCGCCGGTTGCAAGAACCACTTGCAGCGCCCTTTTTGCATTTTTTTGCCGGACCTTTTGACTCACACTAGATCGAGCCGCAAGTCACTCTTGCTCGGTTTCTTAACCCAGAAGAAGATGTCGTTCAGCATTTCACGCAGAAAAAATAGTCGTGAGCTTACCGCATCGATCACGTGAATTGTACAATGCTGCTAACTATTGTGAAGTAGATCGAAAAAAACGCAAAAAAAACCTAAATAATACTTGTTAGCAATAATCATAACATCTTTATTGACCAGGTGACTTATTCGTTCCAATGGTCTCTGCTGCAAAAGTTCGCTTGATCGCCATGCCGAAGGCTTAATGTGAAGAGCGCCGCACAAGCAACGAACTGCTAGAGGTACTAGCATACCAAGTTTCGTAACTAAAAATGAGTCATTCAAAAATCCCATGGGATGTCTAAAGTGGCTAGCGGGTTGTCCGACATTTAAAAGCCGTAAAGCAGGATTGAGTTTGCGTAACTTGCTAAAGTATCATTTACAGGAGGGTTTTATAGCAGAAACACGACGAAAATCCAGGATTACACCACCAAAAACCTAGAAGTCCTGTTCTGCACGGCATTGGACGAACCTTTTCGGACGAGCCGCCTTGTTGCTCATCGCCAAACGTACTCGCTTGATAGATACGGTTCATGTTTTATTCGAACATCGATGTAAGCAACGCTTTCATTTCAGTTGTATTTCATCAACTAAGCGATAAGAGTTTGTCGGTATGTCGCACGCGCTTTTTGTGGCGGGAGGCGTTGCAGTGGTCGTCTGGATCGGCATGTTGCACCTTGGCTAGCGCCATCTAGCCGGTACGCCAGGATGAAAAAAAGGAGCCACACACTTCATGCTAATGGCGCTAGCAAGTATCCAGGCTAGACGTATCCGATCCTGCACCTCCTTTCGACTTATTATGCTACTTGCCTTAGCCCACGCGCTCTTAAAGCAGTTGGCACGCATAAAATCGCTTATAGCAGTCGTATGGGATTTGACAACTTGCTTAACATATCCGTGAACTCGGGCAGCGCTGCGTGGAGGCCCTTTACAAGAAGCGGTACCTCTAGCAACGACCTATTGAGCAACAAAACTTTACGTCCAAAAACCTGCTCTGGCCCGCCCAAACGGACGACCGTTTTCGATGACGCTCGTTATTCATTCATTTTGCTGAGCAAAGTTCATGAAAGCAAAAGGAATTGGTATGAAGCGGTTCGTGCATGCCTGCATGGATCATGGCGATACACATATGGCAGCCGCTAATCTTCCGTAGGCGGGATTCTGCAAAAGATGCGTACGGGAAACTCGTCCGAAATCGATTTACAAGTCACTGAGAACGGAGGCTTTTCTTCGCCGGATTTTGACCGTTTCACTCCGTTCTTTCGCCATTTCCCCACTATACAGCGCCCTACTAGCATTTTAGGCTAAGTAGGAAACCATCGTGCACTGGCCTTAATTAGCGCCAATCTAAGTAATGAGTAGCCATCATCTGGGGCATTCAGCGCAGTCATAGATACTCGTTATAGTAACTTATTCCTTAAGAACTTCGAACCTTACTCCTGATGATCAACCGCAACAATGACACACATGGGGGCTTGGCAGATCCGACCGCTAGCTTACTTAAACTAGCCCTGGATAGTTTTGAAGATGCAAAGAGGAAGTGTTTCACAGCAGACATCTCACTCTCAATCAGCACCATTTGTGTGCAGAGCGAAAAAGCTCGCAATCAGCACCTTTTCTTGATTACACGAAAATAAACATCGTCTTCGGTTGTCAGCAGGAAGTGACTTCTATTCTTGTCACGAACGCCTCCAAACCTGCGTCTCCAGGCTCGCTGCTCTCAAAGACAAGAATGTGTCCAGTAGTCGGAAAATGTGAGTTTCTAAAATATTCTATCTGAATCTTCATCAAAAGTATGACGGACGTCAGAAATCCTTAGTGGGGTGGTCGCATGGGTGGTCGCATGGTTGCTGTGAGTTTCGTTGTGGTGAGAGGAGGTGGAAATAATAGAGACTTTGCCGTCCTGATACACTTCCATCCTCCTTGAGCTGGTCGACGTTTATACGTTCCTTCATTTTTGAGCTTATTTGAGAAAATCTGAAGAGACGAGATAAGAGGACCGGTGGCTGTGGAGTCATAGCCTTGAAGGCAATTGGCACGATCCCCAAGACGTGTAGGATTAATACGTCTGGCGGGACAGAAAACGGCGCCCTTGAGCAGGCGCTGCGTGGCGCCTTTTCCAAGGAAGGTACCCTTATAGCGCCCTATCAAGCTGCAACATACCGACCCGAACGCCCACTGCGCCCTCCCACCTAGATGTTCGTGCCGCTTCATTTGCGAAGTACAATATGAAGCGAAGGGATTGATATGAAGCGGCTGCGGTGCTGCATGGATATATGAGTACATACATGCAGCCGTATCTACCGTAGCGGTTATTGGCACGATGCCTACGGGAAACTCGTCCGAAATTGCTTTCTGAGTCGTGTGGAACAAAAACGCTTTTATTCACAGCTTTTTGGCCATTTCACTTAAGTTTTTCGTCATTTTCCCCACCATACGGGGGGTGGGGGCGGGCAAAAAAGGCACTTTCTTCCTTGGCTTTCAAGGCGACATGAGTTGAATAAAGGATAAAGGATAAAGTCTTCGCCGTTGATCAATCCCTTTGTGGGATGCGGCACGCATTCTACTTCCATTCAGAATCGTAGTGGCTTATTGAATGCGATGTGGCCTATACAATGACTTGCGGTGGCC